TCCACTTGGCCCCCAGGATGGTCATCATCTTTGACATCGGGATCTTAGGATTCTTCTTAGCAATTAGGGGCCTGAAAATACAGAAGCAGAAAACTCAGACCTTTCACAGATGGTCTGGGAATACTGCCATTTCCCTGTATCAATTAAGTCTATGCAAACTATCCTGGGTGGGGGAAATATTCCTATTAAGGAAAATATTAATTTAAGTAATAACTTAAGCAAAAAGAAGATAGAAGGGAAATATATCCTGTTGAGCATCATCCTCACAATGACACTCTTGCTTTGTTATCTCTGTATTTTATTGAATTCCACTGAACCTGAAGAAAGTTTCCCTTGGGACAGTCTGAAAGAGACAGACATTGCATTTTCCTCTACAGTGTGTGTGCAAAGCTCCTATGAGGACACCTGTGACCCTCAGTGTGCACAAACATACTGTCTTTAGCAGAGGTATAAGTCTAAGACACTACTAAGGACAGCTACCAGTTAGCGTTCCTTGAGTCTAGGTACCAACGGTACTGGGCTATGCATTAAATTTCCCACCAAATACACACAGGCTCCTACAAAGTATGAATTATTTATAATTTACAAACAAGGAAACTTAGCACCAAAGAAATGAAGTAGCTTGCCCAAGATGAAGCCAGGGCATGAAACTGCTGTGTAAACCTCAGAATGAGCCTCCATACTCAAGTCCCACTGCTATGAATGCATGATGTGTTGTTACCAGGACTTAAGAAAGGGTTGTCAAGACTTGAAATGAAAACTCTCGGACAACAATGTCACCCAGGTCTAGTCCAGTTACAGAGAGGAAAGCGGAACTGCCGGAGCAAAAGAAGACACAACCCTTCCTTTCCTATCTTCTAGTTCTGGAAAGTTCTCTAATGTAGTATGAGACTCATGACCTCTGCCCCGCAACCTTAGGGAAAGATGGACTCTTAGTTGGGATTGACTGATCCCAAACCAAGAGTAGGTTGAAATTATGTGTGCACAAAATTTTGTGTGCACATGCCATGAATTTCTTAGAGAAGCATTTCCTTAGATTTTAAACACATTCCAGAGAGGCCCAGCCCACACCGCAATATTAGATATTTGCCTGAAAGGATTCCCGGTTCCACCGTACCTCATGAACTGACTGAAGGCTTTATAGTTGGTAAGTGTGTGATAGTCCTCCTCGGAGAACACATGTTCCACATCCTCCAAGCCCCAGGTCAGAAGCAGGGCAGCTGACGACTTCTGTTCCACCTGCTGAGTGGGGGACAGCATCGTAAGGTGGGGCTCTCTGGCTCCTCTCCCAGGCACCCTTCAATGCCTCCTCACTCAGTGTCCACTCATTTCCTGCTCCCATGCTTTATGAATCCCAGCTCTGGCAGCGTTCCCCCACCCCATGCCCACCTCTGATGTGCATTCTTACTTCCTAAGTCTAACTCACCTTTTGCCCCCCATCTCCTTCTCCCCTTTTCCTCCTCTTTGTCTTTTTCTCTTTTTTTTCTCGGTGCTTCCTTCTCCGCTTCCGACCTGGTCCAGTTCCATACTCGCTGCCTCCACTCTCTGACTTCTCCCGGTACTCATCTCGCTCTGAGCCAAATTCCTCTTCACTGTCCTAAGGGAGAGAAATAAAAATAACATTTATTCATTCTTACCAAGTGCCAAGAACTGTTCTTAGCACGAAACATATTTTATCTCTTTCCATCTTTACAACTATCCTATGAAACAGTAATTGATCTATATTTATTCACTTTTTTTGCAGAAGAAATTGAGGCACAGGGAACTAACTATACTGCCCAGGAAGATAGAGGACTTCTAGGCTCTGAATCCATGCAGCCTTCTTCCAAAACTGTGGTTTTCTTTTTCCTTCTGTATTGGGAACTAAACCTGGGGCTCAAACATGTGAGGCAAGCTCTCTACCACGGAGCTACACCCTCAGCAAGCCAGTGCACTCTCAACTGTTTCTCTCAGATAATAGGGTAAATTACAGTGACATCTGGACTCTTTACCAGCTTGGAGAAAGTGAGGTTAGGGTTCCAGGTCCAAGAGATGCAGATGAGATACAAGAAGGGGGGAGCGGAGCCTCTTGACTTTAGTAGCACCTCTAAGGATGTAGTCTCTGGGAAGTGGACCCCTGAGCCTTGCATTCGGGACCTTTGGTACTCACAAGCTTCTTGCGTTTCCGGGGCTTTCCTGGCTTGTTTTCCTTCTGCTTTTTGGGTCCTCGCTTTCTCTTCTTCACACCCAATGCTGAAGGCAACAGTCGGATATCATCTTTATCTTTGGAGAGAAAGCACCAGAAAACCTAAACTTGGAGCACCCCAACCCCTGAGGTTCTTCATTGTCCCCTTTCTTCCGGACTCAGTCACACTCTCTAGGAACCCAGGCATTAATTCCTCTAAATTTCACTGCCCATTAACGGATGCAAACCCAGTGTTTCTAGTACTCTGGGATCCTCTGATTCTGAATGGGAGGTCAAGGGTCAGAAAGGAAGAGCAGCCAAGCCACTCCCTTTTCTCCCCTCCTACTAACAAGGGACCAGACTCTAGGCCACCGGCTCAGACTGTGGCAGGGCCTTTCAGCCCCCCCCAGGGCTCCTCCTGCCTTCCCCCTCACTTTGCCAGCTGGCAACTTGCCCAGGAACCGGGGAAGCCATGCCCAGCTGCTGGCCTGGCCTGACCCCAGCACTTGGAGTAGGGAGACACAAGCTGGCAGCTCCCTAAGCCAGATGCTGAGAAGGGAGAGCCAAAGGTGGACACCCGGGTTCTCACACTAACACCCTGGGGCTCTGACATCCTTTTTGCCAAGAGGGAGGCCTCTATTTACATTTTCTTGGATAATCACTGCAACACAGCACTGGAGCAAAAGAAATTCCCAACTAGTCATTCTACCCTCTTGCCCACAGGACCGGTGTCTGCCCCCTTCACATCCTAACTCAGCAAAAGGAAGCCTGTGCAATTCCCTAAACAGTCCTTCTCCCAGAGGACTGGAGTCTGCCTCTAAATCTATTCCCAGAGACTGTACCCTTTATCCCATAGCCTTACCTTTCACCTCTGTATTTTTCCCAGACAAGCTGACTCATACACACACACACACACACACACACACACACACACACACACATAACAGGGACACAAACAGGATATAATCACAGACACATGTGACATATGCAGTGAGTCTCAAATTCATACACACACACACACACACACACACACACACACACACACACACACACACACGCATGCCTGTACCTGCTTTAGCACAGCTATGTCCCTGGCTCTCTCCCCAGAAGGCTCTGTCAGAGGGCTCAGGACAGGTTCTTCCCTGATATGCCCCCCCATTCTCCCTGACCCCTGCCAGTCTGCTGAAGCTTGGGGACCAGAGCTATTTTCCTGCCAAGTAAGCTCTTATGCCACACAGACTGATGCCACACAGGAATGGGGCCCTGGCTCACCTACCACCCCCACCAATCACTAGACTAACCAGCCAGACCTGTCTTGTCCAAGTAGAGGCAGCTGCAGCCAGAGGGGAAAGCCAAGGCTTGGCTCAGCCTCTTGCTCTAGGACACACAATCCTCCTTTCCTCAACAGCCAAGGAAAAATTAGCCACAATTAACACCCCAGGCCTGGTTTTCCAAGCAGAGGCTACCTTTTCTACCTCCACAATCCTGTGTCCCTCTGAGCAAAAGACACTCTAAGATGGGGAGTGGGCATGCAAAGCGGCTGCCTGCCCAGAGGCCGTGTGTGAAAAATGATCCAGGGCTCTAATAGGAAGTCAGACGTCATGCCCAGCAGCTGGCTCCCCTTAACTCTAGGGACTTGGGTTAACACGAACATGGCAACGAAGACCGCGGGGCAAGTGGCAAGGG